ATCCCACTCTAGATTCTGCTCCTTGAGGAGATTGTATCTTTTTCTTCTTTTTTATTTGTATCGAGTATTTGTAGGAAAATTTTTGTAAATAAATGAAAGGACTTAATTTTGTCAACTCGTTCTTTTACACTCAATTATCTATGCTTTGATTTTTGAAATGTTTTCAAATGAGTTGGTGAGAACTAAGACATGAGTACTCTTATTCTCTGGATGCATTGGTGAAGATCGAGTGATGTCTTGGTGTTGTACACTTAAAGTTTGTTGGAGGCTTTTGAGGGGTCAGATAAGTTGTAATAGCATTTGTCATGCCTCACCTTGGGTTTGCTTTTGAAAACCAATGCCAAGGGCTTTGAATGCTGGACCAAATTATAAAGAGCGAGTCATAAGGGCACCTGTCATGCCTTAGGTTTACACCTGAAAGACGATACAAAGGTCTTGGTCCGTGCCTTAGGTTTACTCTCAAAAGAGACCAAGGGCTTTAGTACGTGCCTTGGTTTTAGTGTATGCGTAGGAATGCCCGATGTGTATATTTTGTAAAATAGATTCAAAGTGGTGCTAGTATCCATCAGAGGAGTAATAATATATGAGTAGGCTAATCTCTTCTTGACCAAGCCGTATCACTAATCTCAAGAAAAGTAGAACGATCTCTAAATATTTACTATATTAGAACCACTTTGTTTGTAAAAAAATTGTGAGGTGCATGCTTCTAGAAAATTATTTGTTAATTACTCTTATTAAAAGAAAACCCTGATTAATAGAAAGCAAAGAATTAGATAGGCATAAGAAATCAAATGTAGAAAGATATTAAATTTATTATCTTTCTAATGTATTATAAAATTGAAGAGAAAGAAAATGGGAAATTGGGTCTTCAGGCAATGTTCTGGAGCCCCCCTCCCTTTTATTATGAAAAATGCAAAGGACCTTGTCATTGTTGTTTCAAACTCTAAGTCTCTCTTTCTTTTCAATCTCTCCGTCTTTTCTCTATCTTTTCTGTCATTCTTTTGTTCTTGTCCTCCTCAATGGAAAATGAGGTCTCAATTTGTAGGAAGACAAAAGGCCTTAGTTCATGCCTCACGAGTTGATGAAGATCGAGTTGCAAGGAATCTGTGTCATGGCTTGGTATTACCCATGAGAATGATATCAAGGTCTTAGTTCATGCTTTGGCTTTACTCTAAAAAGAAACAAAAGGCTTTGGTACATACCGTGGTTTTGATTTAAAAAGATAGCAAATGCATAGGAGGGCTTGGTCGAGTCGATGAAGATTGAGTTGCAAGGACTCCGCATCATTCCTTGGTTTTACTCATGAGAATGATACCTAGGTCTTGGTTCATGACTTGGGTTTACTCTAAAAGGATACCATGGTCTTTAGTAGATGTCTTGGTTTTACTTTGAAAAGACACCGAAGGCTTATGAGACCTTGACCAAGTTGATGAAGATTGAGTTGTAAGTCGCATTGTGCCTTGGTTTTACTTATGAGAACGATACTAAGGTTTTGATTCATGCCTTGGGTTTACTCAAGAAAGTGACTATGGGCTTTGGTACGTGCCTTGGTTTTACTATGAAAATACACTAAGGGCTTTGGAGGCCTTAGTCGAGTTGTTGAAGACCGAGTTGCAAGGATTCCATGTCATTCCTTGGTTTTACTCATGAGAATGATACTAAGTTCTTAGTTCATGCCTTGGTTTACTCTAAAAAGATTCCAAGTGCATTGGTACATGCCTTGTCTTTACTCTAAAAAGAAACAAAAGGCTTTGGTACATAACTTGATTTTGATCTAAAAAGATAGCAAAGGCATAGGAGGGCTTGGTCGAGTCAATGAAGATTGAGTTGCAAGGACTCTGCGTCATTCCTTGGTTTTACTCATGAGAATGATACCTAGGTCTTGGTTCATGACTTGGGTTTACTCTAAAAGGAGACCATGGTCTTTAGTAGATGTCTTGGTTTTACTTTGAAAAGACACCGAGGGCTTATGAGGCCTTGACCGAGTTGATGAAGATTGAGTTGTAAGAACTTCGCATTGTGCCTTGGTTTAACTTATGAGAACGATACTAAAGTTTTGATTCATGCCTTAGGTTTACTCAAAAAAGTGACTATGGGCTTTGGTACGTGCCTTGGTTTTACTATGAAAATACAATAAGGGCTTTGGAGGCCTTAGTCGAGTTGATGAAGACCGAGTTGCAAGGATTCCATGTCATTCCTTGGATTTACTCATGAGAATGATATTAAGTTCTTAGTTCATGCCTTGGTTTACTCTAAAAAGATTCCAAGTGCATTGGTACATGCATTAGCTTTACTCTAAAAGACACAATAATTTTACTCTAAAAGATACGAACAACTTAGGAGCCCTTGGCCGACTTGATGAAGATTGAATTGTAAGGACTCCATGTTGTGTCTCAGTTTTGCTTGTGAGAATGATATCAAGGTCTTGGTCCGTGCCTTGTGTTTACTCTAAAAAGAGACCAACGAGTTTGGTATGTGCCTTGGTTTTACTCTAAAAAGACACTAAGGGCTTTGCAGGCCTTAGCTGATTTGTTGAAGATCAAGTTGCAAGGACTTAACGCCATGACTTGGTTTTACTCGTGAGAATGATACCAAGGTCTTGGTTCGAGTCTTATATTTACTCTAAAAAGAGACCAAGGGCTTTGGTTTGTTCCATGGTTTTGTAGAAAAGGCGTCAAGGCCTTAGGAGACCTTGGTCAATTATCGATGAAGATCGAGTTGCAAGGACTTTGTGTCGTGCCTTTGTTTTACTCATGGGAACGATACCAAGGTCTTGGTTCATGCCTTAGGTTTACTCTAAAAAGAGACTAAGGATTGGTAAGTCTCTTGGTTTTACTCTAAAAAGATACCAAGGGCTTAGGAGGCATTGGCCAAGTCGATGAAGATCGAGTCACAAGGACTCCGTGTCGTGCCTTGGTTTCATTCATGAGAATGATACTAAGGTCTTGGTTTGTACCTTGGGTTTACTGTTAAAAGAGACCAATAGCTTTGGCATGTGTCTTAGTTTTACTCTGAAAAGACATCAAGGGCTCAAGCGGCCTTGATGACTTGGCGATGACTGAGTTTGTAAGAGCTTCTTCTTAGCTTTGTGCCCTCTATGTTACCATGTAGTGCTCCCTAACATTATTGGTGGGCTTGCCACAATAAGGGCTTGGCTACAGTAATGTTAGATGGTGTGCTGGTCATTGATGGTTTGTGATTGAGGCGCTTGTTCTTTGGTGGTAGCGTCGATTCTGTTTTGCCGACTTGAAATCTTAGGCTTTGTAGTCACAAAGTAGGCATGACAACTTCTACTAGGACGACTGCTCTCACTACACGCATTATCTTATATAGGGTCTCTCCCATGGAGGTTTCATGGCCATTATGCAAATTCTCATAAATCAGTAAAAAGAGGCTCATGTGGCTTGCTCGTAACTATTTGTGAGTGTTACGAGCCATGGTCAAAGAGATCGAGTAAACTTTTTAGTTGATTTATACAACTAGGCTTGAGTGATATAGTTAGAGCTGATCATTTCTTCATGCTTTGGAACTGAAGATCAACCATTACCTCAAAATAATTATTTTTCAACAATATAATGCTCAAACAATTATATATTATTAAATTGCGAAAAGTTTTATCTTAATATTATTATAATATATTAAATTATGTTAAATATAATATAATATATTATAAATAATATTTTAATTTTATAATGTTTTAAAATATGTTTAATATATTAGTATAATATATTCAAATATGTTTAATATATTAATTTAATATATTCCATTAATATGTTTTATTATATTGATGAAAAATAAAATAAAATATAAAAATTATAAAGAAAAATAAAATATATATATATATTAGATTGCTATATGACATATATTAATGTAATATAGCATAATATATAATATATAATATATATAATATACAATAGATATATTATACTATTAAAAATAATATAATAAACATAATATAATAAAATAAATAATTATAGTAATCAATATAATATATCTTATATTAGTCTATATTAATTAATATAATAGAATATAGTATGTTAGTTAATATAAAATATGTTATATTATAATATAAAATTAATATCATAGAATATAATATGTTGGTTAATATAAAATATATATTATAACATATATGTTATATTTCATATATGATGTTATTATAATATAATATATGCGTATGGAAATGGTCAAACTAGTGGTGATAAAAAACTCAAAATGGTGTTTTCAAAATTAACACTTTAGAAAAAAACATTATGACATGATGTTTTTTTAGGAAACATCATAAAAAAAAACTCACAATGGTATCCAAATGCACCATTAATGAACCTACTAATAATTATGATCAAATTGTATCGTATGGACGTGGTCCATCAAACATGCAGTGGTTCTAAGTCAAAGAGCGCTTGGAGTTGTTCAAAACCTTATAATTTTAGGGTGCATACTCATTCATGGATTCTCATGAGAAGATAAGCAATACACGAAAGGTTTCGCACAGGTAAAATTTCACACAAAACCCCGTATAGTTTTACTCTTTACCGGAAACCCCTAAGCTTTATAAATACGGCTTAGCCCTCCTAAAATTTGAGGCTTGTCACAAAACTCCCAAACTTTTACAACTTTTTCATTTACCTCCCTATATACATAGGGGAGGGGGGGGGGATGGTTCTTTGTAGCTTCATGAAAAGTTCACGGGATTTGAATGTTTGGGTTTTCTAAAATTAATGCTGAAAGTTTGACGGGTTTTCTTAAAATAATGTTGAAATTAAGGGGGCATGCTTAAAATTGGGTTAAGCGACATATGTTGAAAACTTCGTGGGGTTTTGACAAGACTCAAACAATCAGGGGGCTAAGTGTCATTTATAAAGTTCAGGGGGTTATCCCATGAAGGGCCAAGCTGGCAAGTGGTTTAAATGTAAAATCTACCCCTTTTGACTTTTCTACCAAGTCCACGCAAAAGTCCCTGAACCAGAAACCTTCAACTTCTATTTTGCCCTTTCAAAAATCATCTACTTTTACTCTCCACTCCATCAAAATCGAGGGGGGAAAAAGGGGAATGAAGAGAGCAGCAATGCAAGCGGAGCCTCCATCGGAATCGGGTCCAGCCCGCTACTCTCTCCCCGCTCGGCCCTACCCAAGCGAGGACGTACTCTTCTGCGTCGACGTCGACGCAGAGTCCAGGGCCCAGATGAGGCTTTCGGGTCAAAACGCCCGGTCAATGACCCGCTTGGACTCCATCAAGCAAGGCATCCTCTTCTTTGTCAACGCTAAGCTCGCCATCAACTCTGACCATCGTTTCTCCTTCTCTTCTCTCGGGACTAGCCTCACTTGGGTCTGCTCTGCCCCCCACCACCCTTTAATTCAATTTCTTGAAATTTTGCGAGATAAGTGAGCTTCTTTTTGATTCGCTTGGGAAATGGGTTCGTTTGACTTTAGGTTAGCGCATTGTAATCTTTGTGTAGATGGTAGTGTTAGTGTGGGTTGCTGATGATATTTTGGAATTCAAGACATTTTTGTTACTTTTTAAGGTGGGTTGATTGTGGTTTGCTAATGAGTCTTAGATTTTATGAGATAAGTGGGTTTCATTGATTCATGCGGCATGTTGAGATCAGTCTGAAAGTGTGTTTGTTTGATTAATTGTTAACTAGTCCTAGAGTATTGGTGGTTTGAGAAAGGCATGGAGTTATATACTCATTTGACTGAAAAGTTGGAAATTTTTAATTTTTGGTTAAGTTTTGTAAACTTGATGGCCTCTCCCCTTAATACCCTTTGTGAAATTACTTGAATTTTTTTTGCCAATTTTGTCATCTTTGTGCGTGTTTCTATTTGCATTATAATCTTTGTGTGTGTTTCTTTGGAAAAATATAACTTTTTTTCTGGGTGAAGTTTTGTAATGTTGTTCGCTTCTGTGTGCTGTTAACAAAATTTTCAGGTGTACCCTCTATAAGTGGTCTATAATAAATTCTTATGGGTCTTAAGCTTGTTGAAGCAATTGGTGGTTAGCTTCTGTTCCCTGATTACAAATAATCTGTTACCGAAGTTGTTAAATATGTTTAATACTTTATGTTTAGCGTCTTCTGTGTCATCTTCTGTCTGCTTTTGCTGTAGGAACTAAGTAATGAAGTGAGCTGATATTTATATATATTTTTGAGTATTTACTTTATTCCTCTCCTCTCAGATGTTTTGAAGTCTTGAAAAGGTTTTCTTAGAGGATCTCAGATCTTCTTTTCAGCATTGTAGGTTATGTCATCTATGAAAAACAACTTTCTAAGTCATAGTTTATTAATTAAAAGAATTTTTTTTTACATACGTCAATAATCGCATGTCCTTGCACCTTGTTTACATGCTGAATTTAGATAATCAAATGTCGTGTCAAGGGCTTAACCTACCTATCTTATAAATATGGAAATTACATATTGAACATTCCTTTTGTTGGTTACTCACGTGAAAAAAATGCCTTCTCTATAGTGTTCTTTTGCTCTTTTTTTCCTCTTTTCTCCGAGGATAATATCAGAGGAGACACTATGGTGCGGGCACGAGATTTTCGACATGTTTATCAGCGCAGGAGACGCCGTGTTTCAGCTTTACACCAGATCCTTACTATGTGGTTTTAATTTTCAAATTTAGTAGTTGATTTTTGTTTTAGCAGTTTAATTTTGAAATTTGAATTGTGGTTAATCGGGTCCGATCTGTTTTGTTCAGACCGAAACAAAGCACAAGAGGTAATCGGGTCCGATCTGTTTTGTTCAGGCCCGAACCGGGTTAACTAGATCTGATTTCTAGCTCAGATCCAACCCGCTCTGTTCAGACCCGTTGGAGTCCAGTTCGAGTCTGATTCGAATCCGATTCAAACCCTGATTCCGCAGCCTATTAGTGCATGGCCGATCCTGCAGCCGAAGACGCCCAATTTGTGTATGACCTAGAGACCGGCGTGGTAGATCTGCAACTCTCCTAGTGACTCGATTACCAGTCCTTTGACACCCCAACAGAGTACGTTGATCACGTGACTCCTCAGATCACTGAAAGCTTGGAGAGCCAATTGAGAATCAGTTCGTGACACCGGTGCTTCCACTCAGATGCACCACTTCACCCCAGTTACGTAGCTCTCGGAGGAGAACTCTCTCCCCTCGTATTTGGCGTCGTCGCATCACCTCCAGAGGTTGTTCACGTCGAGCCTGTTCAGACCGACGAAGATTTCGTTTTCTTTCGACCCAGTATTTTTGGAACTACTATCGCTTGCATATTATTATCAATTTTAATATCAATTGCGATTGTGCTGTATTCTACTTGATTAGTGAGCGAGTGACTCTGTTTGCCGCGTATATCTGCTGACCTAAATATTACAAGTCAAACTTTATTACGAGAACAATCATTACATTTATTTTTTGAATAATTTACAAGGTCGTAAACTTAGTACACTGCAATCTTTGTTTAAACCCATCTAGAGCTTCACTTTCTTCTCGAGTTTCCTGTCTTTGGTGAAGCATTGTTGTCGTTGTTCTTCATACCTGCATGCACATTGTTTCACATCACACTATGCGTAGCTTAAACTTTATCTCTGTGCATGTGAACCTTCCTCAACTTTCTGCCGTCATTTGACTCTCATGAATGAATTTATTTTATGCTTAACGAACTCATCAATAGTAGAAGTTGAAGAAGAAGAACCCTTAAGTAGAGAGAAAAAGTTTATTACATTTAGGAAAGATGTGTAAAAAGTCATTTATTGTCTTAATGGGAACCAAAATCTTAATTTTCCAAATAATAAGTTAAATTATCACTTGCGTCTTTTGAGTATGCATGTATGTACATGCATGCACATTGAGAACATGTATTAGTTAACAATCTGAAAGAAGATGGTGATTCTTATCTTTGCATGCATTTCATTTATATGAAAGCAATCCTTAGCACGAGTATGTAAAAAATACTAACGACCTGTCTAAAAATCAGACTATATTTAAATATAATGACTTGTTGACTACTAAAAAAAGTAAAAATCATGTAGTTAATATTAAAGAAGATAAAGAATACGATAGGCTCTTGGAAAAGTAACTCAAGCAGTGATATCCTTACTTCCATATACTCCTCCAGTTCCACTCTAGAAGCATAAAATCACTTAAGTTCTGATTCAAGCTTCTAATGAGGTTATGCTTAATAGTTATAGGTATTTGATATCTAAGCACTCTAAGGTAGGCCCCTAATTGTCAACCTGGTTGTGTGGAGTATGAAACTTTTGACATATACATATATTTTAATTTTTAATTAGTTATTTTTATTATTAACTCTGACTTCTTCTCCTGCGACATAACCATTAGTTGTTTATTTAAATTTTTGGAAATTAACCAACTAAGTACAATTCAATTGGAAAATCTTATTCGTCAATGTCAATTTTGTGGTTGTCTCTAGTTTTCCATGTTCTTCCATAATCTTAGAAATTCATTGGTGTGATATTCCAAATTCTAACTCGCAATGGTACAGTATAAAGGATAATGTATTTCGTTTTAAAGAAACAAACACGTATGTGATATATGGTTCAACATGTTTTTCTTTTGGTTAAATTACTGCTACCCCTCCCCTCGTGTTCCTCCAATAACACTTTGCACCCCTCAGCTAATTTACTAGCGTGTACTACCCCAAGGTTTACATTTTAGAAGGATAAAATGCATGTAACCCCTCTTCCCCTTATGAATCTAGGGGAGTTAGGTGCTACTAAATAGTTGAGGGGTCATAAGTGTGCTATTGAATTGATGGTATAGATGGAAGGGTTATTTGTAATTTACACTATTCTTTTTGTGTGGCATTTATCAATACCTTCTTGTATTGTTTACTTCCTTTTGAAGCTTCTATGCTAATCCTCTTCTTTATCTTGTTTGTCTCTACATACTCATGGATAGTTTGATGTTGTAGTGCTCTTGCCAAAAGAAAATATGTAGTTCCTAGATCTAGCCACTACACATGGATTAAGATCCTTTTTTATGCCTCTTTATCTGCTGAAAAACAAAGGACTCAAGAAGTGTTTCTACCTGGCATGTGTTTTATAACTCATGGTTGTTCTCAACTGCCATAAACCTTAAAGCAGTCCAAATTGACTTACAATAGATATTGCATGCGTTAAACTGAAATCTTCTCACGCGTACAATTATATCTTTAGCGTGCATGAGACCCACCCCAGGTATTTTGTCCAAATTCCATTGTTTTATTGACGCAGATAATGCATTCCATTCAAAGTTTTGTTACTACTATTGCATGTCATCTTTGGCCTTCCTCTATTTTTTTAAAAAACCTAAACTGGTCCTCCTCCATTGCTAGAGCTTTTCTGTCATTCTTGATTAAGTCATATCTTTTAAAAGCCCTTACGAATGATACATCTAAGATGCCCTATTGCAGTTGGGAAAATATATTCTTTGTTGCACTAGCTGAGGACATTTTACCTTTTCCTTAGTTCTGCAGATCTTGGCTATGCACTATTTGTCATTATGACTTGTTCATCTAATGAGATAGTGCACTGCCGATATAAGCCTCTTCATACTGTAATTTTCTTAAGATAGAGAACGATCAGTCTGAGAGAACAGTATGATACACTTGAGCAAAGAAGGCGGCACATGCCTCAGTGGTGCATGTCTAATCACATACCCTCTGTATTCCAATATGTGCTCATTACAGTTCACTGATGAATGAATGAAAAGCCGATAAGATCACAAAGCTGTATTTAATGACTTGTGCTTATTCCTATCAAAAAGTGAAAAGAGAACCTCTATGGATTACTGTTGGTAAACTGCAAGATTTTTTCTTGGTGTAGTTTTATGGTGAATTCTGAAATTTTACTCTTTTGCTGAAGGTTCGAAGGAAGTTCAATAATCAAGTTCAGTCAGCAGTTGAACAAGTTCAGTCACTTGCAGAAGCAGACTCATCCTGTGACAAAGCTGATCTCACTCTACTTTTCAAAATGGCTACTCATGAAGCAAATAAATCTAAGCAGCAGGGTCGGATTTTGCGTGTGGTAAGCTTTTTCTGTTGTTTATGTTTCTTGTCTGTTTGAATCTACTAGTTATTACTCAGTGCTTTTAAATACACATCTGTATGCTTTTTATCTTGTCAAAATTACCTCTCTTATCATGCATCCCTGACTACGTTCTTGTTTTCCTGTTAATTCCACATGCTTTATTACCTTTTCTATCGCGCATTCTGTTGGATTGATCATAATAAAGTGCTCTCATTTAAATGATTCATGCAGATAACCTGTGCAGTTAATAAAGGTCACTTTATAATTTACTTACCTTTGTTTGCATCTTTCCTTTATACTGAAAAGTAATGCTATTATCATATGAGGGTTGTGGATACTGCTAGAAGAGATAGGATGGGTGAGCTGATCAAGCAAATGGCCGAACGTAGAGATCCTCTTTTGCCACATATGATAGTGGCTTTCATTATAGGATTTGTATTATGTCCCCAAGCGAGTATGAGTTGTCCCTTATTTGCATTTAGATACGCTGAAAACTTGGGCACTCTTAAGGAGTATAACTGGGCTGAATTAGTATACAATGTGTTGTGTACCGAAATGAATAAGGCTAAGAAAACCATCATCAAGAGATTTGAGGGAAATCGATCTAGAGGTGGTTATATGGGTGGTTTTGCCTCGGTTTTGATGGTGAGTTAGCTTTTACTACATTTTTATGTCATGTTTATTATTGAGCTAAAATTAGTATACATTTAACATATTTATTTCATGTTGTCGTGTTTATTGTTGAGCTAAAATTTTCCTTTTCTTACAGGTTTGGTTTTATGAGATTGTGGGACAATTACGCCTTCGTGTAGGAGCCGAATCTCTACCACCTATCCTAAGCTTCCACAAGGGTCCGGGGTCTTTACGGAGCTTCAGCATTTGCATTCTGTTATTTCACAAACTAACATTATCAATCTAGAATTTCCTCAGCTTGTTTACGTAACAGTTTGGGCTTCTGATGCCATCTGGATACCTTGTAGTGTTGCTTCATATTCATTGTGTTATATTGTGGCAAGTTATGAAGGATTACTCAATTGAGTAGCCCTACTGACAGACTGACATGTGAACCATTAAACTATTGTGGAAACATAGTAAAGGTAGTATTTAATAATTACGGCATATCAGTTTCATTTTACCCACATGTTATCTAGTAAAAAGATGTAACTGAGCTGCTTTCTGCTTGCCATCGTGGCTACTATAAGAAACCCACCAAGTCATGGCTTACGACATGCGACAATATAAACTCACACTCGTTTTCTTTGCTTAAAGTCCATCGTTAACCACATTGGCCTTTTAATTCCATTTTGAGAGTGTCATCTAAGATTACCAATTTTGATTTTAGTAAATCACGTTTTGCATATAGAATTCTGTCTAGGTAGTCTGCATGCTTCTATGCTATCCTCATATGGTGATTCACCTAAGTTTGCTTAAAATCAGGTGGCCATTATTGATTTAAGAGTAACTTGCATGTAACATGCATACCACCCCTCAGCTCTTTGTTAGCATTGGTTGGCTATTTGAGTCTTTGAGAGTGACGTGCTGCTATAAAAACCTCTAGTGAATCTATTGTGATCTGAACTTCTTTGAGCTCATGCCACAAGCTTATTTTGGCAATTAAAGGACACATTTATTTTGCAAGTTTCCTATTAAAGGACGTGTTGTTTCAAGTTACCTATTTAGATTTAAGGGTAACTTGCATACAACACATCTATTATGATTGGAACTTTTTCAAGCTCATGCTACATGCTTATTTTGCCAATAAAAGGACACATCTGTTTTGCAAGTTACCTATGAAAAGGACACGTTTCGTTTGCAAGTTAACTATTTAGATTTAAGGGTAACTTGCTCGTAAGACTCCTTATGCATACCTTAAGCTCATTTATTAGCATTCGTTGGTTGTTTACGGGTAACCTGCTATAAGCGTATAACCTCTACTGTATCTATGATGACTTGTAGTTCTTTGAGTTCTTGCTATAAGTTTAGTTTTCCTATGAAAGGGCATGTTTAGTATGAGTAGGATTTGCCTATCTAGTTTGCAAGAAAGATATTTTTAGTACATTTGAGGTTAGAGGTTGCAGCTGTTGAGGATAAAATGAGAGGGAGTCAACTGAGATTCTAATAAATGTACAATGTGGGCTAGAAGTGTTAAGAGTATAGTTAATGGGCAAAAAGGGGTAAATTATACCTAAAAGAACTTTGATCGTATCAAGGGTTTTTTCTATATATACCCCTTAAATCATGTATATTTGCAAAACTCCCTCCAAATCTTAGTATTTGCAGAACTACCCCAAATCATCAACGTTGGAAACAAATACCCACAAATCAACAAGTCACCAACTTGGATACGGTGAGGAAAATTTTGACTCTTTTGTTGATATTTCCATTGCAGTTGCAAATTAGCCTGTTAGAGTTGATGATTTGTTGATTTGGGGTTTCCCCCAAAGTTGTTGAGTTGGTGGTAGTTTTGCAAATATTGAGACTTGGAGGTTATTTTTGCAAATATGCATGATTCGGGAGGTGTATTTACAAAAGTCTTTGTGTCAATTAAGAAGGATAAGATAATAGTTAACATAGGGGATGGCTCTTAGTAGAATTGAATAAAAGGATATGATTCATATAGCCAACCTCAAAATTTTGGGACAAAGACTGTTGTTATTTTGTTGTAAGAAGGATTTACATAGATTATAATAGTCTGTTTCTACTTCAGATACTCATCTACTGCCGATCATCAACTCTCCCCACTCACGAATGGCCCGAAAGCACGAAGAACTTCACTTTAGACGTCATCTATCTTCATGACAAGCCCAATGCTGAGAACTGCCCACAGAGAGTATTTGATTCCTTAGTGGACGCTTCTGAACATGTGAGTGAGCACGAGAGCTACATTCTTGAAAGCGGGCAGGGAATAAACCGAGGCCTTGTGCACCACCTCTGCACGCTCCTCTGCCACCCCGAACAGCGTTGTCTTCAAGAAGAGCTCGACATCCCGAAGCCTATCGTTGGAAAATTGCGAGTGAAGGCTGAAGGCACTGCTGCTCTCAGTGATGATAGTTCACTTGATGCCTGCTGGTGACATGAAAATTTTGATATAGTTTTGTTTTGGTTTTGCCTTGAAACTTTGCGGCTTGAAGGTGAGAAATTTTGTATGGGCTTTCTAGTCGTAATGTGTCTTGTGTGTGCCTTTGGCATCAGAATGCTGAACCTTCTATTAAGAATCTCTCAAGAGTTATGGTACATAGTCAAGTGGTATTTCTCTGTTTGCAATTGTATTGTTGCTCTTGTGCTCTTGTTCGTCTTTTGTTGATGAGGTCTGAGTTGAAGATGTTGGCATTTGTATCAAAACTCCAACGGTGATGACATTTTAGTGGAGATCCAGAAGGAGAAGAAGACGCAATATTTTCAGATAACTTAGGGGCTGTCTAGTTCGGCCACAAAAGTTGGAAAACACTCCAAAAATAATTTCCGGGGAAAAAATGTGTCAGTTTTTAATTTTACGGGCCACTTCCAATGTTTGTTTCAAGCTTATTTTCTGAGAAGTGACTTACCAAAACGTCACCCCACGTCACATTTTTTGTAAAATCCATTTCTGCGTTTGGTTATTTCCTAAAAAACCAAAAAATAGAAATGAAAACCAAGAAATCTCAAAAAGTACAATTTCACACATTTTCCTTTCTAAGGGGGTGTTTGTTTTGATTTTTTTTTTTGGGATTTCAAAATGGGATTTGAAATCCATAAATGATGTGGCTTTTAGGATTTGAAATCCATAAAGGGGGTTGTGTTTGCTTCAACAATATTTTGGGATTTGGAATGCTAAAACTTGTAATATTTTGTTTGTTTCATCAATATTTTGGGATTTGGAATACTATAAATTATATATTATAATATTATATAAAATTTTAATAACATATATTATATAATATATAATATATATATATATAATATTATAGATATATTATATATTTTATATATAATATATAATATATATTGTAATATATAAATTATATATTATTTTATATAATTTATATAATTTATATTATATATATATATATATATATATTATATTATTT